CGGTACGACCTGATATTAAAAATAAGACTTTTGCCGGCGAAGCAAGTTGGCAGAACATCTTGGCTGTCAACAACAAGCTTTCGGATACATGACTAGTTTGGCTGTTCTTTCAGCGTCGTGTGTGTCCAAATTCGTCAAAGATTTTGATGAAGCCCTTTCAAAATACTGTTTGTTTGATTTATTTTCTGCCATAAAGCATAAAAGAAAAGAAATTCGAAGAAATCGATAATGGAATTTGTTACGTGCGTTTGACCTTTATATCAATTCTCGCCTTGACCGAGCTATTTTTAAAACTGTTGTTTATGTGAACTTGCAACCAATCAAAATCCTTCATGATGCTGATCAACCAATCAGATTTCCCGTCCACCAGGTGGACGGGAATCCCACACTTTAGATAGGTTTTGTGTCAGGCCCTATTCTGTGATAGGGCCTGAACTTCAGGTTACCCCGGTTTCAGTGTACGGGTTTTGGTAGCATGATTTTGGTTAGCAATATTTTCGTCGATGTCTGAACTTTTACTCGTATTAAGGTGCACATTTTTCGCATGAAATCATTGTCTATTGTAAGAAAATAGAAAAAATATGATTGAATTACAGACATGAGTAAAAACTAGTAAAACAAGCTGACAGTACTCGTACTCGAACACGGAAACCGGGATATCTTAAACTCACTAAATATTACCATTTAGCATTTAGATATACTGTAAATATGTTGAATGTTTCTGTAGCTACGCTGCTTGTTCCTAGCAGGCAGTCAAACTAAGTTTCAACGGTCGAATTTTGCTTCAGAACACCCTTAACAATTCGGTACCCTATAGGCTTACCGTATACTTTATAATATTGACAGAGAAATCTCAAAAATTTATTAACAAATATTTAAAAGTTGATGTTCCACTCTTTGAGTAATGCCTTCGCATTTTTCAGTTTTCTTAACAATACTGATGCTTCTTCATCATTTTTCATAATTTCATAAGTTGGTGCTTTAAGATTATGCTTTTCATAGTATGACTTTTCCCATTCTGCAAACTGTCTTTTGGTTTTGCTGTGTTCTGCCAAAACTTTGGACTTTATTAGTAGTAGACTGTTCTCGTATTCCTTTATTGCTTCTTGCTTTCTCATTTCATTGCATTGGCCTTGGTGAGCTTTCAAAATTTGTTTGAGTAACACCCGCTTTTGATCAACCTTTTGAACCTCTGGCACGTTTCCCAGCACAATCGCTGCTGACTTTGCCATACAAGTTACCAAAGGATAAACACTTTTAACATTGGTCTGCTCAGAAGTAAGCTTTTGAGTAACTGAAATGTCATTGATGCTTGATTTCTCATGACTTGTACCTTCAACTTGCAAATCTACAGGTTCTTCTGCCAGAGTAATTATTTCTTCATTGGCTGGTTGAATGTCAATGATATTTTCTGGTGTAGATAGATCATCTTGAGTATCTTCTGACTCATTGAAACTTATGAATGTTGTGTGCCGGACATTTACTCTGTCATCTTTCTCATCAACCCGGACAATCTCTGCAGGTATGGGAATTTCTTCGTCGAGGCACTTTTGCCAACACCGCTGCAAATACGTTTCCTCTTTCATTTAGGAACTGGACCTGAAATGGTGGAGTTGAGGGCCATGGTTGTCCGCACTTGGGCTGTTTGCGATGTCATTGAATACAATTGTGTCTTCATTTCTTCTCCACCAAACACCCTCTCCCTCAATGAGGAAATCGCTGATACACTGTAGATGAGCTTGCCAATCTCTTGGATGTCTTCTGATCAATTTCAGTGAGATGCTGGTGTTGGTATTTGAGGGGAGCAGTTCTGCAAGCTTGCTTATTTCTGCTTGTTGTTGACTTGCATCATCAGCATGTAGATGCATCTCTTTCTCTGCTTGAAGACGAACAAGTAGATTTGGAATGATTTGCTCTGGGTGGTGTATGTGCAATCTGAAATATCATGTTACCTATCTTATTATATCACCTATCATATTTCAGATTGCACATACGTCACGTTTAGTTTCAATTTACATGTATATTATATAGTTTTAGCGTCCTTATATCATATTGTATATACACCCGTTGAAGGCTACAGACTGGTAGCCTTGTGATTAATAAATATATTAACCAGAGAACGTCTCATCTTTTCATTATGTCTAATCCTGGTTACACATCTAAGATTTTTAATGATAAATTTTATAGTAATTACATGGCAAAACAAACAACTTTTCAACAGTATTAACGCAAAATATAATGTGAATACAATCATTAATATTTCTAAAATACATAGGCAAAGTAATGGCAAAAACAAAGAGGTTTATATAATGTCAAATTAAAATCCACGAAATTCGCGGGAATTTTAAAGCTATACATGACAGTGTATATACTATAAACAAACAAGACAAGGTAGTCTAAGTAGTCTAAAGAATGCTCTTGACCTAAGCAGAAATGTATGGCACTTTTCCATGCCCAGACACATGTGGGTTTGCGAAAGTTGCTGCTTTAGAAATCGAAGAGCAGATCAGAAACAATGCAAAGGAAAATAGTGAATTAACCAAGGGTAAGGAAAACGAATACAAACTAAAACAAAAACAATACCAGCAATTTAATACTAATTTCAACAACAAGGAAGATGGGAGGAACAACTTTGAGATTAACTTCACCAAGTACAATACAAACCTGATTAAGTTGCGAAGCATTGCTGGGAAGTGGAATTTCCGCAAGTCTAATGAGAAAAAGCAGTATTTAGACACGTTTCTTTGAAGCAATGGAAGAAGCTGTCTGAGGTAAGAAAGAGTGAACACCGACTGGCAAACTGCAAGGGGTGTGCTGTGAGATATGCAGCAGTCCAAGCATTTTTTCCAGTCAAATCACAGTTTTTGAAAGGAAGAATAAAGTCAAGTCCAGTGTTATGTGCACATATAATGAAGCTGCAAAACTGAAATCCCCATGTGTAAAACCTAAGCGAAGCGATGTGAAAAAATCAGCAAAGGCAATATATGAAGCAATATCCCCAACTTTCAAGAATACATTTGGCACAAGTTTTGCCGAGGCTTTGGCTTCTGTTCCAGAATCACAGTTGCAAACCAAAAAGGTTCTGAACAAGTATAATCAGGAAAAGCATAAACTCAGAAGGGAACAATACAGAAAAGCTAAGGAAAATATTGAGGAGCAAATGAAGGACACTGCATTCTTAAGGTAATTTTAAATAAGCCAAGGCAATTGCTACTGCATATGGAATGGTAGTATGACCAAGGCCGCCAAAGGGTTAGACTGCAAATAGTCATGTATTTTGCTTTTATCTCACTATAAAGATGGTGTATTTATTTAGTGACTAATGGCTATAGAGCCAGACCTAGTTCTTGATTAAAATTTTGACAAGGCCACTGTACAATGTAATATATTCTACCACCTCATTTCATAATATGTTTTTAGATTATATGGTAGTGGTCAATCTGTAAAGCAATGGCAAAGGAATAGGCTTGCATTATGCTTTGAACCAAAGGCAGCAGCTACAGCTCAAGCTGAAAAATCTTTGGAGGAAAGCAAGAAGCCAAAGGATCATGTTGGAAATTTAGAAGCGATGACATGGGATAAAAATCAACTGCGGGCTGAGGTCGAAGGATATGAAGATGGTCATGTAGTCAACTGGTCCAACCTAGCAGCACGGTACAATGTGTGCAATAAGAGTGGTCAACTAGCCAAGAATCGTGGGCAAATCATAAAATCTTGGTTGATTTCAGAGGGAGTGGACGTAACTCGTTTTAGCACTCAACGCAGAAAAAGCAATGGCATTCCAATTTCAAGGCGAAAGAAGAGACGGATTGTCGGAGGAGAAATATCATTCCCCACTGAAGTGCACCCCAAAGTGCTAAAACAAATGCTTCAGGAGAAGCTTCAGATTGGGACATATTCAATTGGTGAAAGAATTGTTCCAACAAAAGTATGCAGTGGTGTTAGATATCTATAATATAACTTTACTTAATACCGTATATTATATTTAACCAATTAGGCCTACATCTTTGCCAAGTATATTACATTGCACTTTTTATGCATTGCATATGTATAAAAATTTATAATTTAATTTTAATGTTTTGTTTAGTATGAAAAGCTTATTCTTTCAAAAGACCTGGAAATCAAACGAGTTGATTTCATAACCGAAGGAAGAAAAATCCCATTGAGAAGAATCCGGGAAGACTTGCTCCAAAAACATAGTCAGTACCTTAGAAAGAACAACAATAATCATTATCTAGAAATGTCCCCAACACAAGTGATGGAGAGGTTAAAAGTTCTTGGTGAGCTGGAAGAAAATAAAGGTCTTGATGAAATGGCAATGAGAGAAAAATTGGCAACCTTGGAACAGACAAGAAATCTTATGGTTTGGTTGGATAACTCAACTGTTGCAAACCATGGATATTTAGTCTGCCTTGTGACCTGTTTATATGATCCAGCTGTTTTTCACACTCCTGAAGAATACAAGGAAAAAACAAGCAAAAGTGTTGACATTCAAAAAGAAATTGAAAATCCAGAGGTTCACATTATTGCAAGATGCAGCAGTGCTGATCAGGAGCAACTTACTTATGCTGAAACACGTGTCGAGTGTATTCAGGAATTGAAAAACAATTGCAAGATTGATGACGTTGAATACAACGACAAGCTACGATTTTCCCATGGAGACAGTCCTGCAAGAGCCCATGAAGCGGGTCAACAGAAGGGGGGAAATTATTTTTGTTCAACCTGTGGAGTCCATTGTGATATGACAGATGATCTGGCCCATGTTCTAAACTGCAAAGTAGAAACACTGGAAACAAGACAAAGTGCCATTATAAGTGGTAAGATAGCGCTTAAAAACTCAAAAAATAGGTACGCGCTGCGTACATGTGGGTAGCCTGCATTAATTGTTGTTAAAGTTGGAGTAATACCGAGGTTGGAGTAATACGCGCAACAAAATTGCTGCAGCCAAAATTTCTGCAACAAAATCTGATTTCAACGCATTTTAAGTAGAAATGTTGACAAAACATTTCAATTAACATGCGCAGAAATCAGATTTTGTTGCAAGTTGCAGCAATTTTGTTGCCCATATTAGTATATTACTCCACCTTAATTGCTATTGTCATATTCCGAATTTACTGAAAGAAAGTATTAAGTAAATTGAACACAATTCAAATATTATACACACATTTAATCACATACTGAATATCAGATATGACAAAAATACGTGAACGACTGTTACGTGCATTTTTCAATAAGCATAAACAGATTTAAGAAGTTACAAAGTATTTTAATGTGTCAAAAATAATTTGCACACTGAACAGACAGAACAGTACAAGGTCTTTAATATGTATACGAAACAAAATAGCCTACATCACACGCCGAAATACAGACAGTACGAAAAACACTTAAGACAAGAACAGTTCTTGCTCAAGGACAGCATACATCAAAGACAAAGCATCAGGTTTACAGGCTGCGTATATACAATTTTCGTGAAATTTGAGTTTCAAGGATAGTCCATGCAAAGATCTAAGGACGATGTTTTCCGGCGGAGTTTGAAAAAGATCAACATATATTTATTTAGGGATGATTGAATTATTTAAACAACGACATAATCGATCTCATATATATATTATGCACTTTTTATAATCTTATATCTTATAACAACTATCACATATAGATACGCTTTGTATCTTTTATTGTATGTAATTTCATATGTGCCTGTATTGGTATTTTGATGAATAAAGATTATTATATATTGGTAATGACATTCAATTTGCTTTCAATATTCGACAAATATATCCCTAAGTAAAAAAGCGCTAATATTCCACTGCCTAATTTAATCCTTGTGTAAACCGTGCTTGGCTTTCTATTTGCCTTAATACACATTCGACTAACCCGATTCCAATGAAGTGGCCTTACAAACATTATGTAAGCAACGACATACTCGATTCTATATACCTATATGTTCGTCATTCGTCAACATTCCTTCGATATAGACTAACGTAAATATGTCCAATCGTCGCGCGCTATATCACTAATTACTATATTTTTCTAATACGTATAAAATGTTTGATCAAAGACCCCTTGCGCTAATATTAACCCCAATGACCCTTGTACAAGCAGTGATTATAAAAACAACGACATATTCGATTCTATATGCGTTGGAAATGACTATCGACCTGACAAAACATATTACAATAAAGACTTTACTAAGAATTTATACACATCTCTGTACGGTATGAGCGTTAGTGAACTTAGCCTGTGGTCTATAGACGGTTCGTATTTCAAGGATAAAAGGAACCGCGCAGCAGGACACCGCGGACACGAAGGCTACAGCGCCACGGAGCCACAGAGCCACAGAGAAACGGAAGATCGCGCTTCAGTCTCTCACATAGTGGTTAGCTGCGCATGCGCGGCTACCCACAAAAACCAGAAGGCAAAACCACTCGGGAACCTAACAAAGCAGGAACTAGAACAAGAATTAGCATCTCGTCAAATATTTGATGATGGAAACAAGGCCGATCTTCAAAACCTGCTTAGCAGGAAAATGCGTGGCAAGCAACGAGTACCAACACTGCTATTTCACAATCCACAACAAAAGTTGAGTGAACTTGGTCTTACCGATTATGAAATTCTGCCTTGTGAGCCACTTGATGATGTGGGGCATCATATCGAAAACATCTTCACTGAACTGCCTCATCATTTAAATGACAAAGAATCAAAAGCAATGGTAGAATCACTTGAATTGTGCCTGGGAAGTAAAGACCAAAAACGGACAGCATATTACAGAAGTGCAGTGGTAAAAACAGCTGGTCACCTTTCACAACAGAATGTCTTGTCCGAAAAACCACATGCTATTATCAATACTCTTGTTGAAATGCAGAGGATTCTATATGCTGCTGAATATCTGCGATGCCCATCACTCATTCTCCGATACTACAATCAGTCATGGCTGCACTCAATTCTGTTGAAAGAACTAATTCAAAAACCCAAGAAGTTAACACAGCGAAAGTTGTTTGGCGACAATCTAAATGATGTCCCACCAGAGAGAATTAAAGAGATAACCGACATTCTTAGAAATGAAAAGTTCACCGCACTGGATATACTATTAATTCACCCTTTCACTTACACTATTAGATAAGAATGATTTCTTACACTATTAGATAAGATATCAAAACAATTGTATGCGCCGCACGGATGGCTGCATTTTTATACCTCTCCTAAATTTTATATATTTGATGTTTTAAAATGTTGTTTGAAGTTAACCATCGACTTGTAAGCCTTGCTAAAAACATTATTAAACCTAAATGGCCAAAATACCGTGGAAATAGAGCGGGTCGTGCAGTTCTGGAACGAAATCTACGACATCGAGCTCAAATTGAAGTTATTCAACGCCATGCGGTCAACCAAAACGTATCCGTACGGAATCATACACGGCGCCATAACATTGCTAACTGCATAAAAATCAACGTGGAACCACCTGCAAATAGGAGGAGATCTCCATCAACTTTTGTTCCGTCGTTATATCTATCAAATGTTATGTCCTTGGCCCCGAAGATCGATGAAATTCGGCATTTTGCAAGCCAAGCCAATGTCGACCTTATTTGCATAACAGAGACGTGGCTTAAAAGCCATATTGACGACAATATAATCGACATTGGGGGTTATAGCGTGGTGCGGAGAGACAGAATTGGCATTGACCACGGTGGCATATGTACGTATATTAAAAATAACATCAATTTTGCCCTCCTAGATGATCTGCAAAACCCAAACTATGAAGTTCTCTGGTTAACGTTACGACCGGCGAGACTCCCAAGGGGATACAGCTCTATTGTTTTAGGAACTGTTTACCATCCGCCAAGTGCTAATGACCGGGATTTACTGCAATATCTTTATTCATGCCTCTCATTGATCGAATCTCGTTTCTTTAACTGCGGAATCTTGTTGGTTGGTGACTTTAACAGGTTGAATATTTCCAGGCTGAGAAACAACTACAACCTTAAGCAAATTGTGAATTTTCCAACACGCGGCTCCAGAACCCTGGACTTAGTGTTAACTAATCTAAAGCAATTTTACAAAGATCCTATCCAACGATCCCCTCATGGTTTATCTGACCACATGTCAGTGGAAATACAACCTAAGAATAGATTGCAGCTGCCAGACCAGCGCCGAACCATTAAATCAAGAGACCTTAGACCGAGCAATCGTCTCGCGTTGAGTTCGTATCTCGAGACTGTTGATGTTAATGCACATACTAATACGGTCAACTCCTGCGCGGAAAAAGTTGCAATTCTTGAATCAATTGTTCAAGTGGGGTTGGATTATGTATTACCCTTACGATCTAAAACGATATATCCCGGCGAACCACCTTGGGTCAGCTCGACCCTGAAAGATCTCATTCGACGTCGCCAGAGGGCTCTCATGCAAGGTAACCTTCCATTGTTCCGTCTTCTCAGAAATCGAGTGAACCGTGAACGCAAGACCTGTAGAGCGAAATATTATGACACTAAAGTGGCACATTTGAAAGATTGTAATCCATCCTCATGGTGGAGTGAAGTCAAGAAACTAAGTGGCCTATCTTCCATGTCCTCTAGCATAAGTGACCTTGCAAATCATCTTCAGTGTTCTGATGGGACCCCCGAAGACGAAGTTTTGGCGAAAACAATCAACGAAGCCTTTTTATCTCCAATGCGTATCTTTGAACCCTTGCCGAATGATTATGATCCCCAGCATAATGACCCATCTGCAGAACCATCAGCAGTTCCATACATGGTCACCGCCGACAGGGTTTATTTAAAGCTCTCCTCCCTCAATCCAAAGAAAGCCACCGGACCAGATGGCATACCAGCTTGGCTGCTTAAGGAGAATGCCGATTTATTATTGACTCCTATAACAAGCATTATCAACTCTTCCTTTAGCGAAGGGCGTCTCCCTCCATCATGGAAAAGTGCCGATATTGTTCCTATTCCTAAACAGAAACAAGTCCGGGACATTAACAAAGATTTACGCCCAATATCGTTAACACCGGTTCTATCCAAAGTAGCCGAAGAGTTTGTTGTAGAGGGGCATGTACGACCGGCTGTAATAAAGAAGATCAACGATAACCAATTCGGATGTATACCGAAATCTTCCTCTACGCAAGCTTTACTCAGCATGGTGCATACTTGGACCAAACATACTGACGGTTCTGGATCAGCAGTGCGGGTCGTACTTTTCGACTATAAGAAAGCATTCGACCTGATAGACCACAGTATCCTGGCTTCTAAGTTGTCCACCCTCAACTTACCGCATTCTATCTTGAGCTGGATATTAGACTATCTTAAGAATCGCAAGCAAAGGGTTAAACTTGGTCAGGACTGTAAATCTGAATGGGGTGATATACCAGCAGGGGTACCCCAAGGGACCAAGCTGGGCCCGTGGCTTTTCGCCTTAATGGTCGATGATATCGATGTCACCAACACAGATCTATGGAAATATGTAGATGATACTACAATCGCGGAAAATGTTGCAAAGAACCAGGCAAGTAGAATCCAAGACGATGTTAATGAACTTATAACAAAATCGGGTGAGAATAAATTCCAATTAAATGAAAAAAAATGTAAAGAAATGCGAATATCGTTTGCAAAGTCGCCTGCAGATTTCAACCCAATCATCGTTAACGGAAAAGCTATCGAGCAAGTTTCATGTGTCAAGCTACTTGGATTGAACATTACGAGTGACCTGAAATGGAACCACCGTATATCGGAAATATCGCGAAAAGTGTCCAAAAGACTCTACTTCCTCAGACAATTGAAGAGAGCAAGAGTCGCAAATAAGGATCTGGTAATCTTTTACATCACATGCATTCGGCCCGCCATGGAATACGCCTGCCCTGTCTACCATAATTCACTGCCCAAATATTTGTCTGATGAACTTGAAGCCCTACAGAAGCGCGCCATGAGAATTATTTTCCCATTTGTTTCGTATTTTGAAGCATTAGAACTCGCTAAATTAGAGACAGTGTATATTCGTAGACAGACTCAAACAACTAACCTTTTTCAGGAAATTAGTAATAACCCAGAACATAAACTATATCGATTTTTACCGAAGTTAAATAAATGTAATTTTAAGCTTAGGAATACTCGTAAATTTCAAGTTCCTGTCTGTAAAACTAACAGACTTCAGAACAGCTTTTTTTATAGTAATTGTACATAGTATAGTCGTACTTAGATCTTTTAATTGTATTTTTGATGTTATTGTAAATTCCTAATCTAATTCAGCTCAATTTTGGCTGTAAATTTTGGGATCATTAAACTATCTATCTATCCATCTATCTATCTAGATAAAACACCGCGTAAGATATAGATGGCTACCGCAGAATCTGAGGACGAATTATTTGAAGCCGCATTAAGAGATGCGGAAGAAGCCGCAAAACCACAACCAAAAAAGAAGCAAACTGTAAGTAAGTCGCAAACTGAAAGTAAGAGGAAGAAACTACTGGAGCTGTCAAAGGACGGACTTGTAGAGAAATCCGCAGGGTTCATAAGAAAGTCTAACAAAAACGTTATAGATAAATTGTACGATGAATATGAAAACCAAAGGATGTCATGTGCAAGTTACTTTTTATCGACCCTCATTATTTCAAAGTTTGCGTCGGTACTAGGAAGTTTCAATGCAGTGGAATCATCAGAGAAACTATCTGAGGAACTACTCAGCGACAAGCTTCTGAAGGATGACGTGGTATACCTCACCAGAACGATATCCCCTAACATTCCATTCATAGGACTCATATCAGGGGGATGCACAACAGCCAAGCATGTAGCCAATCATAAGTGGAAGAAAGAGGAGGTATCCAAAGAAACTAAACGTACATATCTTATTACATACAGAATGCCCAAATCGGAGAACCGTTCGAATGGGGAAACTCCTGCGAAGGAACAGAGTTTGAAGTCATAATTAACAAACTGATTAAGAAAACTGATGAAAACAGGGAACGGCTCGATAAACTGGAGGGTATTCTCGAGAGCCTCAGATATGACTTTGAATCGTTCAAAACTGACACGGTCAAGACTGTTGTCAACATATATAAAAATCTTAATGAAATGCAATGAAAAATAACGTAAAAAATTTTGACACATATAGTATAGAGAAAGTGAGAGAAAAATGGAGAAACTTTTCAGGAACAACAAACTTGACGTAAGCGTAAGAACCGTGGGGAGAGGTGAGGAGGTACTGTTCTACGCAAAAGACGTGGCGGAATCGCTAGGATACGTTAATACGCGAGATGCCATCAAAAAGCATATGTGGAAGAATGCGACAACATTGGGGGAATTTCAAGGGAGTAGCGAATCGCGATTCCCTTGCGGGGGCCAGCCTGGTACAGTTTCGCTATACGAACCGGGTCTGTACCAGCTAATCTTCAATTCCAAACTCCCAATAGAAGAGGCCTTCCAGGATTGGGTGTTCAGAGAGGTACTTCCATCTATCCGCAAAACGGGTTCATATAAGTTACCAGAACCAACGTCCCTCTGTGGTAAACAGATGAAGCTACTCAATGAGACTGACCTCCATTATGCAGTAGTGAGATACATCAGAAGATTCCACCCGAACGCACTCATTGTAGCGGCGCTAGGTGAGTACCAAGACACTGCTCAACGTAGATGTGACGCCTATCGTAAGGGCTACATAGGTGGACAACCTGATCTCATAATAACGAATCCAATGAATGGTTACACAGGATTTGCAATTGAGCTTAAGACCTCTAAGGGAACAGGTGAAATTAGGAGCAATCAAGTTACCTGGCTAAAGTTGCTACGTGAAAGGGGGCACCGGACACTGATATCCAATGACTACACAGACATAGTGCTAAGGATAGATGAGTACTTCAGGGTAGACGTAACAGAGAAACATAAGAAAGAAACAGCTAATCTTAAGAAGCAGTTTAGCATACTCAGGAAGAAACTGAGTGAATCAGTGGTGTGCTACCGACCAAGGATAAACGAAAACAGATACTAGTGTACGTGACACACCGGGGTAAAATAAAAACTTAAAAAATGCTCGGCAATGTTTGTCGGGCATTTTTTAAGCAATCCCCTCATACTACCCAGTAGAACTGAGATGTCTTAGGTTACCTTACCAGTAGAATACAGTTATCTCACCAGCAAATTTGAGGTATATTATGAGCAAATTTGAGTCATCTCACCAGTAGAATACAGTTATCTCACCAGTAAATTTGAGTTACCTCATGAGCAGAATTCAAGATGAACCACAGTAAAACCTAAGGTATCTTACAAGTAGAATGGCAGATAAACCTGAGCAAACTCAAGTACCAGTAACAAGTTAAAAGAAGAAGGACCCTAGGAGAGTAGCTGCAGGGAAGCGATTAGCGGCAATCAGTAAGATAGCAAAGGAGAGGAAAAAGAAACAGGCGGAATCTGATGAGTCACCTGGTGGTAGCAGGATGATTACATACATAGGGATAGCTATTGCATTCATCACCCTAGTCATAACATTCAGGATGAATCAGAGGGAAGAGAAAGCATTGGAACCTAAGTACGTGCCTCCGACAGTAACAATAGTGAAACAACCTGATGAAACCAAACTGGACTCACTTGAGTGAACATTAAACATACCATATATTATAGCAAGATGAGTAAGGTAAATAAGGACACAGATACACCCGTGAAACCAAAGATAGGCAATGAGATCTACGACGCGATATTGCTTACAGCAGGAGCTGTTGGAATTCCAATGGCATCTAAGAAGATACTGAAGGAACCACTGGGGACACAGAGAATGCAAAAAGAATGATGAAGCTACAATCTCTTGCAAAATATAACGTGCCATCATGATTTTGTAAGGCTTATCCCCCTTTCCCCCGTGCAATGTTGCGATTTGAAGTCGAAATTGACAAGGAAGGCCTGAAACGGTGCTAACAATCACTAACCAACATTGAGAAGTGTGCGGAAGCATGGAGTGTCTCGTTTATTTTGTATAAGATTGTCTAAAATAGGAACGTTTGGAATGCACACTTGGTGCAGATTAATTGTGTAAGATGCGAGTGCAGATTAGTACTAATAAGGGAAGTAAAATTTACTGAGAATCATTAAAAAATATTATCACACATGTTTGAACAATAACACCCATGTATTTTATGTTTATTTCTGTAAAAACGTTATAATATGTGTAGCAAAACAACTTGTCAATAACTATATGTATATTTATAGTGCGAATATGCATGCAGTTAATTATAGAAGTAATGAAATTGACAACACAAAAATTCATAATCATTATGAATAGACTTACATGTTGCACAACAACAATTATTCTCATAGCTGTGGTTATCAGATGTACAGTCAGTAGAGTGGGGTGAATTTCGTAGTCTTTTAAATTAAGCATCAAATCATCTAAGACCAATTAGATAACGAGTCGCTTCGCGATCGCCAAGTTAGAAGGGTTTATTTAATTACATACAGTCAAGTCAATGCCGATATGTTTCCAACACGTGAGAGTTTCGTCATCATAGTTCAAGATGCATTTACTGCCTGTAATATACAGCTACTTCAATGGGTATGTGCAAAGGAAAACCACAAGCAGTCGGGTTTCCATTTTCACATGACCGTGAAGTTGTCCGATAGGCACAGATGGATTAGTGTTAGAAATTATATTGCACATAAACATCGCGTAAATGTCAACGTCTCCAATCGACATGACAATTATTATTACTTCCAAGGGAAAAACCTGTACCAAAACCTAGAACTAAGCTTCCTAAGGAGAGGCCTGTACCTTTATCTAGGAAGAAAAAACCAACAAAGAGCTGTAAACCTGTAAAGCAGTTGAAGGAAGTCAAGGAGCAGCCTCAAGTGATTACTGCAGAGTTACATGAAATCGATCCATTTGGAACTGACCTCCACAAGCCCAGTCATAGGAAAATTGAGACGGCAGCTAATGGGGCCGCTGTGACGTACATGGTAACTCCACAGTACATGGATCCACTTGAGCAGATGACTGCAAGTAGACAGGTAGTGAGAAATATACTTGTTAACGAGTTGGGGAGAATGGGTGGTTTGAAGTACACGGAGACCATCAAGGTAAGAATGTCAAAGGAAATCGGTGATGGAAAAACAAAGAAGGACTCGATCTACTTCAAGTCTAAGACAGGAACTGTGACGAACTTCGAAGATATTGAAAACACAGCTGCCACCATCCAACTGACCATTCTTTCTAGAATTGAGACTTTCCAAAACCTATGTAGCAACTAGATTATACTAAATATTGAGAGCCACTATATTAACATTGCGATGTACAAACCGTTGTCGGGGAGCTCATATATGAAACTTCCAGAGGACATTAGCAATTCCAAGCGTGGCTTTGCTAAACATGAGGAACGACGACAATATGTGCTTTGTGTGGTGCCATGAAAGACACCTTAGACCGAAAGCTAGAAGGGCAACTACTATTACACAGAAGGACAGGGACTTCGAGTTAAGCCTTGATTACGAAGGTATTGAGTTCCCTGTAAAGATAAGTGATATTGACAAAATTGAGAGGAAAAATAAGATAAACATCTCTGTGATTGGTTACAAGGGGAGAAAACAATTCTACCCCATAAGGATCTCTAAGAGTGAACACGAGGATCACATGGAACTGCTACTACTAGGTGATGATGCAGGTAACTTACATTATGTGCTAATCAAGTATGTTATTAGGATGCTGAACAGTGTGAGTAAACATGGACATAAGCAGCACTTCTGTTTACACTGTCTTCACAGCTGTGTGAGTGAAGAAGTGCTGGAAAGGCATAAGGAAACTTGCGTGCAAGTAAATGGTGTTCAGGCAACAAAACTTCCCAAGGAAGGGACAAAAAAAAGTTCAAAAACCATAGGAACTCAATGCCTGTACCGTTTGTGATATATGCATATTTTTGAGTCCATACTTGTACCTGAAGAGGAAAGGAGTGAGTCGGGGAGTAGTGAGGATGAAAGTAGTACTACTCTTTACCAGACACACAAGCCTTGTAGTTTTGGGTTGAAGACAGTGTGCCACTACGATGATAAGTACTCTGGAGAGTATAAGAACTACGTTGGAAACGACGCTGCATTTGTCTTCCTCAAGACCATCCTGAAAGAGTCGTTCAGATGCAGACAACTGGTTGACAGTATATTCAAAAAGAAGATGGTAATTACACCTGAACAGGAAGTGGAATTCCAAGGGGCAAAGGACTGTTCCATATGTGGTAAAGAGTTGGGCGAAGACAGGGTAAGAAACCATGATTATGTAACTGGAATGTACCGTGGAGCGGCTCACAATATATGTAACCTGAAGTATAGAATTACATGGAAAGTGCCAGTGGTCTTCCACAACCTGAGAGGTTATGATAGCCATTTAATTATGCAGGAAATAGGTAAGTTTAAGATGGACGTCAACGTGATTCCGAATAATATGGAGAAAAAAAATCATTCTCACTGGGCAGAAATCTAGTCTTCATAGACTCTATACAGTTCATGGCTTCTTCGTTGGAAGACCTTGTTAGCAATCTTTCACCTGAGGACTTTAGGATAGTAGGTAAGAGGTGGAAGGGTGAGGACTTCAATCTAGTGACACAAAAAGGAGTGTTCCCCTACGAGTTCCTAAATGATATTAGCGAACTAAGTACAGAGGGTCTGCCAAGCAAAGATAAGTTCTACTCATCGCTGTATGAGTCTGGGGTGAAGGATGAAGATTACATGAGAGCGCAGAAAGTGTGGTATCACTTCAAGATGAAGACGATGAAAGATTACCACGATATCTACCTGGCGACTGACGTTCTTCTGCTGGCTGATGTATTTGAGAACTTTAGGAGGACTTGCCTGGAAAACCACAAGCTTGACCCTGCACATTACGTGTCAGCACCCAGTCTCAGTTGAGACGCTTTCCTGAAAACGTCAGGTGAGCATATTGGCTGGTAAGTGATATGGATATGTTCCAGTTCTTTGAGAAGGGTATGAGAGGCGGCACCAGTTATATTGCTCATAGACACTCCACAGCAAATAATAAGTACATGGAGAGGTACAACGAATACAATGAGAGTAAGTTCCTTATGTATCTAGACGCTAACAATTTATACGGTTGGGCAATGTCACAACCACTGCCTAATGGAGAGTGGGTTGAGGACGTTGAGAGCATAAGGTTGTAGGACTACTTGGGAGACGATGGTAGAGGGATGGTTTTGGAGGTTGACCTCGAATATCCCGAAGAACTTCAAGACTTACATAACGGTTATCCTCTAGCACCAGAGAGCAAGGAGATCGCCAAGTCTGTGTTGTCGGACTATGCGAAGAATATTGCCGAGAAGTTCAAGTTGACAATTGGAAGCATTAGAAAACAAATCACCTCATTGGGGCCCAGGGAGAAGTACGTGTTACATGTACGCAATCTGAAACTGGACACTGGGCTTGGAATGAAACTCACAAAGGTTCACAGAGCAGTCACATTCAAACAGTCCTGTTGGCTTAAGGACTACATAGACTTCAACACAAAGATGAGGTCAACCTCTAAAAATACATTCGAAAAGAATTTCTTCAAGTTGATGAACAACTCCATGTATGGTAAGACAATGGAAAATCTTAGGAAGCGAGTTGATGTCAAGCTAGTGTCATCCAAAGACGACCTCGTGAAATTGGTGGCCTCACCATGCTTCCAGTCACATAGAATCATGAATGAAAATCTCATTGTTGTAAAAAGGATAAAAGAGGTGCTGACACTCAATAAGCCGTGCTATGTGGGGATGAGTATATTTGACCTGTCCAAGACTCTCATGTATGATTTCCACTATAACACAATCAAGAAGGAGTAAGGTGACAGGGCAAAGTTACTGTTTACTGATACTGACAGTCTCATGTACGAACTGAAGACGTTTATGAGGACTTCAAGAGGATCGCTGAAGAGGAAGATTGCTGGGATAATTCAGATTACCCGAAAGATAGTCCTTACCATTCGTCTCATAATAAGAAGGTCATAGGTAAGTTTAAGGATGAGGCTGGAGGTGTACCAATAACTGACTTAGTGGGGTTAAGGTCAAAGATGTACGCATACGTGAAAGAGAATGGTAAGGGTGGAATGACAGCTGAAGAGGTCAAAATGTATGTCATCAGAAATAAGCTCACTCACGAGAACTTCAAGAATGTCATCAGTAGTAAAGGTAGGATGAGGCATAACATGAACACGATTAGGAGCACCAAACATTCAATTGGAACTTACGAAATGAGGAAGGTCACTCTGAGTTGCTTTGATGATAAGAGGTACTTGTTGGAAGATGGAGTCACCAGTTATGCTTACGGTAACAAGAACATACAAAGTCGCGGCTGAGATGTTAGTACAAGGTAAAGATAATGATGTTAACAGTGTATCCGGCCCACAGAGGCATACCCCCTTATGTACCCACAAGGGTAATTTGAAAGTTGGCAAAGAGGCTCCAGAATAGGGAAATTGGACGATATTGAAGAAGTGTAGGATTACACGTACAGTGGTTAATATGAGGCTCACATGGGAGCAGCGTGACCGCTAAAGCAATTCCACTGCTCCAGGATAAGTATAACGAAAACGTGCTCAGAATGGCTCTAGAACAGCCGTTTATGTAGACTTATAACAAAAAAAATTAGTACATCGAAATAGCGTTGGAAATGCTGATTCAGGATGACTTTGAGTCGTTGTAGACGACTCGAAGTGGTCTCGAATCGGCAGTTCCTATACTACTCACACATTCATTTCACCAGTACACATGGATGCTATATGATAAAGTATATGAAAGGTGATGCTTTTGCTCTAGCTTAATGATGTATTAAAACAATCTAGAGGTATTACATAATTGGTAAACCTCTTCAATCGCAATGATTTGCATGATTTTCTGCAACAGATATGAATTCAATGAATGCTTTATCTTCCTCAAATGTCCATTTATGAAGTTTAACTGGGAATTTCTTTGGAAGAGTCGTTTAATCTTTCTCATAAGAAACTACAAAACAAACAGCAAAAGTGAGAGGGGCAATTTTAGTGCGAGAACAATTAGACAACAACAAAGAAACTCATGGATTTTTACCAGGATTGAGTGCATGCTTCTCTAGGAAATTTGTGTACTATGGGTTTTCTAGAATGCTTAGCATTGAAAAATAATGTTGGCATACAGGTGGATAGAAATTACCCAACATTGTCATGAGTTTGTGAACAAGAGGTATAAAATAGATAGATAGATGGATAGTTTAATTAATTAATTAAAAACATTACAACCCACGGGTTGAATTACGCTTCTAACTTTACAATAAATATTTACTTTATCTAACATACATTGTAGAATTATGTTGTATAAAACTATTTTAAATCTATTCGTCCTACTAATAGAAACGTTGAAAATGTTCTCTTTCCCTATATAAATATTTACTTTATCTAAAATACATTGAACAATTATGCTGTATAAAACTATTTTTAAATCTATTCGTCCTACTAATAGAAACGTTAAAAATGTTCTCTTTCCTTATATTATAATTTGAAAAGTTCTTACTTGGTCGTAATTGGTAAAGCTTATGACTTTCGTCATTTGCAATATCATTAAATAGTTTAGTAGTTAGGATTTGTCTTCTATTAAATAATGAGTCAACTCCCGCTTCTACCAAAGCTTCTGCATAAGGTAACGTTGGGAAGATTATACGAAGGGCTCGTTTCTGTAACTTCTCCAAATCTTCGCACAGGTAATTGGGTAAAGAGTCGTGGAAAACGGGACAAGCATATTCCATCACAGGACGCACACAGATCAGGTAAAATGTTAGTAAATCCTTTCTACAGATTTTTGTTCTTTTTAGTTGACAAAGAAAGAAGAGTCTTGTTGAAACTTTCTTTACAATCTCTGAGATGGGGGTATTCCATGTAAGGTCGTTCGTAATTCGCATGCCCAATATCTTTGCTGAAGGGACAACTTCGATTGGTTTATTATTAACATACACGGGTGTAAACGTATGCCCGGGTCTTGCAAAGGTAATTTGAAGCTCTTTGCATTTCTCTTTGTTTAACTGAAATTTATTTGCAGTTGATTTCCTTATAAACTCGTCTACCTGAGATTGGATGCTGCTAGTTTCATGTTTAAGGACAATCTCGTAGATTGTAGTATCGTCCACATATTTCCATAAATCTATATCCGCTACTTTTAGGTCATTTATCATTATAGCAAAAAGCCAAGGACCCAATTTAGTCCCTTGAGGGACGCCTGCCGGAACCAAACCCCATTCGGAGTGACAATCTTGGCTTAACTTGACGCGCTGTTTACGGTCTTTGAGAAAATGAACGATCCACCAAATTATTCGCTTTGGTATTTCAAAGGTAGTAAGCTTGTCTACGAGAATACCATGATCGATTAAGTCAAAGGCTTTTTTGAAATCAAAAAGGACAACCGCACCATAGAACCGTTACCGTCCGCTTGTTTTTTCCACTTATGTATCATGCTTATTAGCGCATGAGTCGTTGATGATTTGGGAATCGTTCCAAATTGATTTATGTCAATCTTACTAAGGACAGCAGGTTTAAATTAACAAAATTTTCGACAACGAAATCCTCCGCCACCTTTGATACAACAGATGTTAATAAAATGGGACGTAGGTGCTTATTCACGTCTTTTACGGGTTTCTGCTTTGGAAGAGGGACAATATCCGCTTCTTTCCACGACTGCGGAAGACAGCCATTTATATTCGAAAGATTCAAAATCTCTTTTACAGGATCAGCCAGTAGATCAGCATTTTCCTTTAGAACCCAGCTGGGTATCCCATCTAGACCACTGGTCTTGGCTGGATTCATTTTTGACAATTTCATAAAGACCTCCTGCTCCGTAACCGTAAAACCAGGTTCATCGCTGCCGAAATTGGTACAAGCAAAAAAGTTACTGGCTAAAGGGGAGAAGTTATTCATAGGAGAACGAAAGATTCCATTGATAATGTTGGCAAGATGTTTGGTACTAATAGCTGTCTCATTTAGATTTTCTAACGACTTATACACCTCATTTTTAGAGTTGAAAGCCGAGTTCATTCCACCCAATTTCTTGACTTCTCTCCACCAGTCGGAAGATTTGCAACCTTTTAGATGTTTGACCTTCGCTTCGTAGTATTTAGAACAACATTTTTCCCGCTCCCGATACACGCAATTACGGAGCCGTTTGAATTCTTCTAAATTTCCACTATTCAAAGCTTTTTGTCGTTTTCCTATAAGGTCTTTCAAAGAGGAAGTGATCCACACTGGCTCATTTGATATAACAGTCCTAGTTTGCAAGGGCACACTGGGAAATTAATCGGTCTTTTTCACAACCCGCACGCGTTTAGCCCGCAATGCAGGTGTTCGCGAGACTTCACACGGATAATTTTGGCATTTGAGCAGTGCCGACATTTGGAGGGCCCTAGAGCGAGTATTTGAGGTCATCATGTGATATATATCATGTGAGAAATATGAGCTCGTAAACAAGCTTAGTTTTAAGCTATATTAATACCGGTTTTTAAGGTTAAAGAACACCCTTTTTGGCGTTTTGCGGAAAATCGCTACTGCGTGCTCAATATCAGTCCGATTTTCATCAAATATTCACCACATGTTCTCCAGTGCATGCAAAATAAGGTAAAGTTGTAAAATTAACAAACAATAAAATAATGTAAGAATTATTCAAGAAAATCTTAAATCGCGGTACCGCTACGCTTTTGAGTTGTGCTCCTGCTGGTTTTAAGTTATATTTATGAAAATATCATTTTTATACAGTAAAATTGTTGTTCTAAAAAATTGTGTTCGGAAATTTTTGTTTATTTCGTCATTCCGCTGATATGGCGATTTCTTTGACAACTGCAATATATTTCTGAATTGTTTGAGTGAATTGCTCTTTATTTTTAAATTATCCAAAATTAAAAAAAAAGCCGAACACAGTTTCGAAACTGACGTATTTAGTTATGACCTGTGGAAATTTGAGAAAAATTGGCTAAAACCCGCAGGAGCACAACTCATTTGAAAATCAGTAATTATCGTAAAAATTTTTGGGAGAAAATTGAATTTGAATATTACATTTTCAATGTTTTTCTTATTACAGCGAAATGTATTTTATTAAATAACTCTGCGAGTTATTCTTTCAAACTTGGTCAGATAGTAGAACTAGTCTAATGCTTTCATTGAAACCAATAAAAAAATTTTAGGCAAAATTAACACTCAAAAGTGTTGTGTAACCTTAACACCTTTGTTTATCTTCATCTAGGTATTTTAGTGGAAACTAAAACGATACGATTGCTGGCTGTATTCCAATGTTTATTCTCTGCAAGTTTTGTCTTAAAAGGATTAATCGTAAAAAATTTGGACGGAGAGAAGTATGGCTAATCGCAAGAGAATGCTGGAAAGGTTTCCAATTGGGGAATGTTCTCGTCAAGTGAAGAGCAAGCGAGAGATTCTTGTGCAATCAAATCAGTCTATTCAAAGTATTCAAAGTGAAATTGATAATGTCGGTCATACCTATGAAAAGCTGAAAGACGACAAGGCTATACTGGAAAGCAAAGTTAGTGAGTTGAAAAGAAAGGTAATTTATAAAATATGGCTTTAAAATTAGGAGTTCATGTTGATTAATTAATGCATTGGTATTTTTGTGTGCTTTGCTCATGAATACTTGAAATATAGAATTTCAGGATATTATTTTAAGTAACTCTGACTCTAGGATGAGAACTCGGAACTGCATATAGCCGTGCACAGTGTGGTTAGTGAACAGGATGCAGAGGGTCAAGTATTAATTAACGAGCAAAATTACCTGGTGTTAAACTGGGTAAAATTAATAGGTAAGAAGCACTGGGGCACATTGCGTCTTAATGGGTTAAATATGAAGCGATTTTGTCTCCCGCTTACCAGAGCACATGTATAATTTTATTTCAATTTGCAGCGAGGTTTGCTTGAGAATGAGAAAGTACACATGCCAAAAGGACGGAGTCCAGATGCAATCCCAACCAAACTAGATGAGAACAACAGCGATAAAGTAATTGGCATCTCCCATAATCTTGCACGCAAGCGAAGGAAACTGACATACGCTGCAGTGCAAAATATCCATGCAACTGCAAAGGATACTAATGAAGAAGCAAAAACAGCTACTAAATGTGGACTATGGCACACTCTAGTTACAAATGTTCCTAGCAAAGACATTACTGAATTGTGTAAAAAGTCTAGCACATTTGGTAGGAATGTAATACCAACAATAGTTAAGTCGGCAGTTACGAGCTTCGAAAAGTCTCCAAAAAATTTAATCAGATCTGTGAGTGTACTTTACAGAGGCGGGATGTTGAGTAAAAGAAAATATTCTGCTGTGCGCTCGTCTGAAATATTTGATTACGATGTTGTTCAAAAAAAGCGCAGGCGTACAGAGTTTGATGAAGGTTGTAAAGTACCTGCACTAGTGCCATACAAAGATTTGATGAAATTTGTTGGAGAGCAAAATATTGGTAAGCTTAATAACATACCCGTGCCTTAGGTGAGAGGGAAATTGAAAAAGAAAGTGAATAAATTAGCAATAACTTTCTACCATTAATTCCCGGGTATTACATTGCCTTAGAAGAGCGCTTGTTGCGACTGGCTGATTTATATCTTTATATTGAAAGCCAAGTGCCTGGTTCTATTAATTGGTTAGGTCGGGAAAAGGGCCATTTTCTGGTTGCCTTGGGAGCAGATGGTGCTCCATTCGGCATATCAAATGAAGCTTGTTCATTGCTTGTCTCTTTCTTGAATGTTGTTGAAAAAGTAGCAAGCCCTGATCACAATTTTCTTATTTGTGGTGCTAATTGCAAAGAAGACCACCCATCAATGGTGGAATATGCAAAGCATTTAAGATCTGAAGTCACAAGTATAGAAAGTAAAACCTTCAGTGTAAGATCTCAGGAAGTAAAGTTTGAGATCAAACTAATACCAGCTGATATGAAATGGCTTAGCACATTTTCAGGTGAACTAAACAATGCGGCCACTTACCCATGTCCTTTTGCTAATGTGAAAAAAGATGAGCTTAAGTTAAGGGGTCACAGTTTGGGAAATGGACCAGAGCACAAATGGCAACCTTGGTCATACAAATCTAGAGAAGTTATTGCAAAAAAGGTTGCACAATATAAAAAGGTTAAAAAAATACCTGTGAAAAATGCTTCTCAAAGTCAGCGTGAAAAGGTTTGCAAGAAAATTGCTGAATTGAAGTCGAGGCAAGAGTTTGAGCCTCTTCTTGGTCCTATGATCCAACTTGCCAAATGTGATCCCTTGCACTTGGGAAACAACTGCTGGGGGCACTGGCACATGCTTCTTTTTAACCATGTCATGACCAAGGCTAAAATTGGCAACTCCATAAAATCTGTGTACCAATTGCCTGAAACCAACCCTTTGCGTAAACATTTAAAAGTGCTTAGGTTTAAAATGAAGTGCAAGAGGTTGTACAATAAAATAATACGGTGGTTTAAAGAGAAGCGTGGCATGTCTAATTTTGAGTGTAGATTCACTGGAGAGGAGACGAAAAAGTTTTGCGATGGTTTCACATATCTCATCTTAGCAAACATTGATGAAGATATTGAGAAACCCAGCAATGTTTTTCCTCTATCTCTTTACAAGATGGGTATTCACCTTAGGAACAGCATATCCCTTGCTAGTAGAGTTTCTGATATTTGCAGTACTGACTTGGCAAAACTTGAATGTGAGTGCAAGCAGTACTTCAATTTATCATCTCTTTTTCACTCTGTAAATCTCAGTGTGTGGTCAATGGGACATGCTGTCCCATTTCATACCAAACAACTTGTTGAAGACTTGGGAGTGGGTCTCGGAATAAACTCTATGCAAGGACGAGAGTCGAAGCATCAACAAATTGCTTCCTTTGCAGAATTTGCCTTAGTTAAGAACAGATGGGAAAAGGTCTTTAGACATGAGTATATGTCCTTGATTTGGTTAAGGAAGCAAACTCCACATCTGGATAGTTACAGGAAGTGTAAGGATAAGTACTCTCCAGACCGATGCTTCAACTCTGGTTATTGCTTGTGTGGCATTGCACTTAGTGATAATGGTGAATGTAAATATTGTGGGTCAGACCTATCAAATGAAATAAGTACTTGTGCCATCACTGGAAGCATAACAGAAAGAATGAAGAAAATACTGAGGCATGCTGAACGTGGGATGCAATTTCTGAAAAGCTAGCAGTCAAATAACTTTTGTGAGCTTTCTTGTGGGAACAGTAAACCATTTGTTGTGACTTACAATGAACAAAAAGAAACTGTGACAGTTATGTGTCACTATGGAAGCTGGAATACAGATGGGGTACCAGCAAATAGTTGACAGAGTTTGTGAGCTTCCTTGTGGGAAGAAAGAGGCTGTTATTGCATTTGTAATCCTCAACTGTAAACAATATCCTCTGGTTATAAAATGTTTATCAATTATTTATTTGTTTCAAGAAATAACCTTGTTGTTAACTTATTATATTAAAGCTGATTGTAGCCTTGTATTTATTATATATTTATTATAAAGTTGAAATAAAATATCTTTCTTATTGCTGCTTTGTGTTTTTACATCAATAGCCGTATTACCAAAATGACTTAGGAACAGACAAAAATGCCAAAAGAAACAAAAGTGGTGCTTTGTTTGTATTAAAGAAGGCAGTAGAAGGTTAGTTGTGCCCGTGCTAACATTTTAACCATTAAGATTATACCATGCAAGATTTAGAGTGACTATATTATGGCACTCAGTTGTAACACTGTTACAAGTGTTAGACAGTGTTAAACAATGTTACACAGTCTAAGAGCACTACATTGTGTTACACACCCTACCCCTGATCTACTCCCCTCCCCCCCTACTCCTACCCAACCTCTGCCCACCCCTTCCCCTATCCCTAAATAAAGAAAGCGTAACACTGTTATTCGAGTATATACCTAATAATACACTCTAAATCTTCCATCATATGCCAGGTTCCCCCTTGATGAGGCAAATTGCCCAACGTTAATATAGAGTAAATAGAACACTGATTCACATTAACTTCTGTCTATCGCCAAACGATTTTACTGGTCAAGTGAAGACATTTGCTTCTTAACAGTCATCAACCAAGCCAAACAAGGTATGGCTGCTAGTTATAATTATAAAATATTATTTGTTTGCACAAAATGCCAATTAAAACATTCAATAAACTTCATATTTGGAACTTTAACAAATAAAGCAGGAAAATTTTGTTCTTTGTCACACCTTCTAATATTGACAAACTGAAATTTGTATAAATTGTCTACAGTGTTAATACATGTCTGTTGCCGTATAAATATGAATGTTAAATAAATTGTGGTACCCCATCTGTATTCCAGCTTCCATAGTGACCCATAACTGTCATAGTTTCTTTTTGTTCATTGTAAGTCACAACAAATGGTTTACTGTCATTGACAATAACATTAACACGACCCTTTCCAGATACATCTTTCTTTAAACTTGTTTCACAATTACCAGCGACAGCAAACAGTTGACAGTTTTATGTAGTTACTAATTTCGACGGTGCGCTCTTTCACTTTCCTTTCTTTGGCTATACGTTTCAGGTGAATATTTACAGCAAACGAGGAAGAACATGTCAAGGTTTTAATAATGTTCAAAAACCAGCGTTTGTAATCTTGAGCTGAATTCCACTACCCAAGGATGGGAATGCCTGGCTGTAAAATACAGCCTACGACTAATAGATTTTGCCCAGAACGTAAGCTCAGAACAAGCCATGTCGTGTAAACACGAAGCTGCAAGCTTCTCTTCGGGTGAATACTTGTTAGAATACGCAAGAATAGCCTCTTTCTTCCCATGAGAAAGCTCACGAAAAAAGTCCTGGACTGCCAGCTTTTCTGAAATTGCATCCCACGGTAGAAGTCCCCAGTATTTAAGCTCAACTTGTTTGAACAAAGCGTCAATATCAGCAGAAAGACTTTCTAAAATATCACGCCTAATAGTTCTGACCGCCATATTGAATTTTGAAACCTAAATTATGCAGGTCAGCCTCGATTTCGCGCGGTGCAAATAAATGCTATTGTTACATAGCTAGCATGAACACCAAACGTGATTGGCTGATTTGTGGTCACGTGACTTCAGATAAATGCAATGTTTCCCGCCGGGCAACAAGTGAAAAATTGTTGCCCGCCCCGACCGGCCACGCACATAAATAAACAAAATGGAGGCACAACTTAGATAATGAGAAACTACGATTTTCCAAGTTTGTGTTCAAATAAAGAATATAAAAGAGCAGAAAAATACACAACAGGCAACAGGATATGCTGCTGAAACCGTTTAAATAGGTTCTTTAAATTTTAAACTCGTTTACACTATAGAGTTTTCGTCACAAAATACAATTGTTGTATGAATGTTGTTGAAGTTGATTTTTGTTCGTCGCTATATAACAAAACACTTAATGCCTGTTCCCTCGGGAAATAGTTAGTTTTGTTTTCCCTCGAATCTTAATGTTTCCCTCGACTTCGTCTCGGGAAACATTGAGATTCTTGGGAAAACAAAACCAACTACTTCCCTCTGGAGCAGACATTAAGTGTATATTAATTTCCCAGTGTGGGGCATAATGAAATCGAGGCCTATCTTAACAATTGTTTCCAGCATCGAGACTTTATCATCACATGATTGCACCGAATTAATTAAATTTGAAACATTTGTTTGTTCCAGATAGGACCTCATTGCATAACGTTTACTTGGTCGCATATCCCTCGACTTTACGATTGATTTAACAACCTTGTCCTGTCCTCGTTTTTTAGGTTTCACTACGATGGTAACATGGTCAGAGAGGCCAAAGGGGGACATCTTAATTGGTTTTTCATAGAACTTTTCTAAGTTGGTCAGCACCAAATCGAGAGTATTTTGACCACGGGTGGGAAAATTGACAATTTGTTTTAGATTAAAATTGGTATTTAGTCTTCTAACATTTAGTTGATTGAAATCACCCAGAATAATAATACCGCAACCAAAATAGTTTGTCTCGATGATTGATAGAGTTTCTATTAAATAATCCAACATTTCGGAGTTGTTCGCGTTGGGTGGGTGATAAACGGTTCCCACTATGATTGAATTTACGCCCCTCGCTAATCTAGTCGGACAGATCCTAACCCACAAAACTTCAAAAAGTTGAGTTTGATAGAGTTTCCAGCACAAAGAACTGGATAGTGTCTCTGATAGTGTCGTGTGTGGCCGCTTGTCTGTCTTTCCAGACAATCTTCTACACAGACTAGTAGAAATACTGTTTAAAGTCAATCTTAAAACAATTGCCCAATTTTTAAAGCAGAATAAGCGCCCAACTAAGCGCCCAGCCCATATGCCTATGGACAAAAATTCTCCCAGGCAAAAAAGCATTAAAATACAATGTTACTGTCACTATGATAATAACTCAAGCCCCCATTATTAACATATTGTTTCATTAAAATTATACAATGTTTTTGTGTAATCATACTGTATTTTTAATATGTTTGTAAAAACATTTGTTACTTTTAAATACACCTTGGCTTAGGACTCTGAAACAAAGTTCGGCTTGATGTTGAATTTTTCAAATGAGAAATTCTGTGTCTTTTATTATTAGGTTTCCCTGGGGGAAATATGTACGAACATATATGCGTATGTTTCAAAATTATCATGGAAAATAGTGTTTATAGTACAATAATTTCCTTCGCGCCATGATGATTATCAGGCGGTCTATTCCCGCCATTGGCGATAGAATATAGCAAAAGTACCCCATTTTCAAACCGCAATTACTCGTCGGTTTGGTGGAGCAAATTCATGTTTTAAAGTAACAGTAGAAAGAATAAATCTTCCCGAATTCGATGACGTGCTTTGTTTTTATTTTCCTAAAAAAAAGTGAATTTGCTGCTGCATTATATCAAGGTCATTTTATTGGCGTGTCCACTGACATGGAACAAGCATAATTACAATACGTAATTAGCATAACTAAAAAGCAATTCCGGTACCAAATAAGTCAAAAATAGTTTAATTAGGTTCTTAAATAATACAAATATAAAAACATATCTTCGAAAAAACGAGATATACGAAGCCAAAATCGCAATGTATTTCAACAACTTTTTGCCAAACGTTCGTTGAAAATCGTCATTGTGAATAATAATGAGACGCAATGCATTGTGGGGAGACCCTCATTCCTCCTCTGGTACTTTACTAAACCTATTTATTATAATAGTCATCTGATATTATTCAGAAATAATGCACCAAATTTACAATAAATTTTAGTCATTATTCTATGTTGGAAAATGAATATTTCTCTGACAATGTTCCTGGAAAATAAAAATAAGCGCAATTACAATTATGCATATATAGAACACTAAACAATGTAATGGCTTCGAAACCCTAGCTTCGCAATATATTATAATTACATAGCTGGACTCGCCAGGATAAAGTCTAACTATGAAACAGCATAGTTTCTTTTAATACATGACACCAGGATGAAAAATTGCTCGAAATAGGATAAACTTGGAGTACAGTGAACATATTGAAGGCAACAACATTATTTGTTCAAAAAAGGTCCATTGATAGAAATAACAGCCTTACTTTATTCTTTCAAAATAATAAAAAAACAAAATAGGGCTAATCAGGGTGTATTTCCAATGCCATAAATGATAAGTGCCAATGCACCCCGATTAGCCCTATTTTAGTATTTTACTTTGTCTAATGCCAGAGTATTTTACCCTGTCATAAACCAGATGATTTGACAATTGAAGAGTCATTTTATATTTTTAAATATACTGTATAGGCATAGTATGCTGGTTGTGTGGAGAGCTAGGGCATGCCAGAGTCAAGTGCCCCCAAAGGCAAACCTCAAAGAAGGGAGCAATTGTGTTTAACAATTGCAGATTTGACAAATTATCAATGTAACATATTACTGCTATACTGTACATATGTCAAATCTGCAATCGTTGAAGTTGTTTAATTAATTTATAACGTTAAATACTTAAATTTTGCTATTACTAATTAGGGCTGTTCATATGAAAAAGCTAGCCCAGCCATCTCAACAGGTTGTTTACTTTCTTCCCTGTATTGCATTCAAGACTTTCTGAAACAGTTAATAAAAATATTAGGTTCAGACCAGGTGTAAGCTGGTTTTTCAGTTATTAATTTTTCTTTGTGGCAACGGACATACTTTCTTGATATAAATTAGCACAGATAGCTCGCTTCATACAAACAGTCCCCTTAGTTTCTGTTGTTATTAGTTTATACATGAAATTACAGACTACAGTATCATGATTATACTCGTGTTCGATATAATTGCTCTATAAATTTACTTTTATATTCGTTCATTATAAAATAACAATTACAAATGTGTAAAACTAAAAAGTGCAGTACCTTGCGGCTTGTCTTCACAACGCTATATACCAATGATAGCTATACAAGTATGGTATTCGACCCTCCGTTTCTTCACAATTTTCCAATAAAGAGTTTGTCATACATGTTCAAGTCAGTAACCAGACTGTATTTACTTTATATCAGTTATTCACATGCTGTCAAATACGTCGGTTGCAACTAATAGTGAACAGTTGCAGATAAAACATTCTCTATTCTCATTAAAATGCCTGTAATGGTTTCCAGTAGGTCTCTAGCCCAACACCTCCAGACACCTACAGACACAAAGTTTTGTTACTTATTATTGCACACATGGGAAACAACAATTAAGTGTTGTTGCTCTTGACAAACATTGAAGATTCTGATCACGCGACTATGTTTTTATGAGCGACTGTTCATCGTTAGTTGCAAGCGACGGTACAACATACTATCAAATTTTTTCGACTGTGACCGAATGTGCAATGATTATTCAAAGTTGTTAATTCAGTGTGACCATATTCAGTATATTTTTTATTTTTGGTAAAATTTCGACAATATTGATAGAAATTTGATAAAAAAATTTTTTACTAAAATTTTGGTATAATTTCTTAACTCTTTGGCGACCCACCCCAAATCATTCATCCGCTAGCGGTTGACGGCTTTGTGTTTTCATATCTTTGGTTTATTGCATGCTATGAAGATAGAAATACTACCATTCGACTCAGAAATAAAAAATTCCACTAATTCCTCACTATAGTTTTAGTCATTATCAACATTGTAGCGATTTATGGGCCTTTGAAGTCAAACATGATCATATTATATCAAATTACGCAATTGTCTGAACAAAAATATAAACAAGCCATACCTTTTGCCGAAAATAACTTCGGCCCCTTCGAACATATCGTCTTTGTAATAGTCTTGTTCGAATCCCCATCAAAAACACTATTTAAGTGTTATTTTCTTGCCTGTATCTTCAAATCTGGACCTTTTATCAATATATTTCCATTTCTTGTCCGACTGTGAGCTCTTTGACGCCCCTTCCGAGCAGCGCTGTTTCGCATCACATTACGGCACAATTTTTCTAATATAAATATCTTGGCCAATATTTACCCCCCGTTTAAATAAAAGTCACCATTGTAATCCTCACAAAATATCCTTTCGAACTGGGGGTCAAGTGCCGTCAGCACATAACACAAACCGAAACAATGATATATTTACTCACCGCTTGGCCTAAGATTCTAAATTTCATATCCTTAAGATCTTGAATATCTCTGGAACTTTTTGTAATTTGCCGAACGGCTGTAGGTGTAAAATACTCTTTGTATTCAAGCGCTTTCGTGTACAAAATTTCGTTTGAATACGGCGAGTAGAAATATTTATTTTAAATTTTTCAAAATGTCGGGTTTTACTCTCACCACGTCACAGTCGCGTACATTGTGCAATAATTGGCCAATAAGAAAGCTCCTGTGGCCAGGATGACGTCAAACTCACGTGTGTAGGTGCAATTTGACCTGTAGAATCCATTTCTGGCCTTTCCAAGGTCATACGATACAAACGTCCCATTGTTTTGACGGTTTTCAGTCGTATTTCCGGTTTGGATTAACTCACTTCGAGCTCACAGTCGGACAAGAAATGGAAATATATTG